CTGCTGCTGCTGCTGCTGCTGCTGCTATTGCTGCTGCTGCAGGGGGAAGCCACGAAGGCGCATGGCGGGGGAGGCACAGTTGTCTGCAGCAGGAGAGGCTTTTGTCCAGCTTTTGGTCTTTGGAAATTTCGGACTTCCTGCTAAAATGCAAAAAGTCTGAAAATGTGTATTCCGGCGTTTGGGCAGCAGCCGCAGTGACCCAGAGCGCCCGGGAGGCCGCAGGCCCGCAATCAACGGAAATACAATGAAGTCTAAAAGAAGAAACTGCAGTAAATGGGGAGTTCTGCGGTGTACATACACCTCAGGAACATGCGCAGCTTGCTGCGCATGTTGCTGAGGTGTACGTACACCTGAGAACATGCGCAGCTCGGCACTGCCGAGACGCAGCAGCTGTGACGGCGCAGCTTCTGCTGCGTTGGAGGCGAAAAGCAGTTTAAAAGTGTTTTTAAATACTTTTGTTTTATATATTTGGAATAAATTTGGAGTTGTTTGCACTGTTGTGGCTATACACTTGCCGCTTCCCCGCCGCGTGACCTGCGTGGGGCCCGCCGAGGTTACCTGATCGGTGAGGACGGAAGGCGGGCGGGCTGTCCTCAAGTCCTCAGTCCCTTTAATAATTATAATTTAAATTTGAATTTAATTTAATTTAATTTAATTTAATTATTTATTTATTTATTTTATTTTCAAAAGCTGCGCAGGCACTTCGCGCCCGCGAATCCGCAGGCTGCTGCTGCCTGCACAGGTGTAGCTACGGTGCACACCAATGGACTGCAGGCGCTGCACGCGAAGAAAAGTGGCACTTCAGTTTAACATTTCTTTTATTTTTTTAGTTTGCAAAATGGTTTATTCCTGCAGCAAATTTCATCTACAAAAAGCTGTCTTCGAATTGTTGCAGGTGTGTTCTGTGCTGCGCTGCAGACACCACGGGCTGTCACCGCTCGTTCGCATGCAAATTCGAATTCCTCTCCGTTTCTTTTGCCAAAAAGTATTCTTTTTCTTTTTTGCAAAATTTGCTTTTTATTTTATTTAATTTGCAGCTAATTCGTCTCAGTTTGGCTCCAGGTGTGCAGCAGCTGCGCAGCAAAGAGTTCAGGTTCTGGTGACCACTGGAGGCGCACATCTCGCGGCTCTACTGCGTGTTTTGGGGTGTCTGTACACCTTTAAATATAAATATATAAATGCAGATTTAAATTAAATCATTTTCTTTTCATTTATATCTTTTGCGTTTTCCGCCTTTGCTGCTGCTGCGCTCTACGCTGTACTGCCACCACGCGCGCAGCAACTTGCTGCGCGATCTCCGTTGCACTTTTGTTTCTTTTCAATTCACTTTTATTTATTTTTCTTTTTTAATTACTCCTTTGTTTCTCGTGTTGTACCTCCGAGTGTCCCCTTGAGGAGCAGCGGCGGCTTCCGCTGCAGCAGCTTTCCTTTTGCTGCGCTGCTGCCCCGCAGCACTTGCTGCTGCTGCTGCAGCGCCTGGCAGCAAAGATGGCAGCGCTTCAGGCATTTGCAAAGTTGGCTTTATTTCGCTGCCATTAGGAGGATCGTGGGGGGCTTTCTGGGCTGCTTTGTTTGCGTGCTGCTGCTGCTGCTGCTGCTGCTGCGGGTCCCTGCTGCTGCTGGCAGCACTCCCGGACGCGAGAGTTTGATTTGCTGCTGCAGCTGTCTGCAGCGCAGCACGGGGGGCCGCTTTTGCTGCTGGTGTGTCGCTAAGTTTCCTTTTCTTCTTCTGCAGCTCCTCAAGTCCCCGATGCTGCTCTGCTGCATGCGCCCGTGCTGCTGCTTCGGGCTTCACCTGCAGCAGCAGCAGCTGCTGCTGCTGCCAGCCTTCCGCTGCGCCTTCGTGCTGCTGGTGCTCAGCACTTGCTGCAGTGGACACAGAAGCTGAGAGCGGGGGGGCCTCTTCTTGCATGGATGCAACTTGAAGATCATTTGCAGATTTTCGAGAAGATACAAATCCATTTTTTTCATTTGTTTTGTTTTTGAGAGGCAGCGAAGGCTCAGGCTTTCCCGTGGCGCTGCAGGAAGCAGCAGAGGCAGCAGCAGCAGCAGCAGCAGCGGCGTCTGCTGCTTCGAAGCTGCTGCCGGAGCTCCTGCACTTCTGCTGCGGCCTCTGTTCAACTTGACTCTTCTTTTGCTCACAATTCTCCCGCAATTCATTCTAAAAGTAAATTAATTTGCAAAATATTTGAAAGCTTTTGCATGCACTTGCTGCTTACCAAGAGGGGCTGCCACGAAGACCCTAGCTCGAGGCCCGCAGCAGCAGCAGCAGCAGCAGCAGCAGGTTCTCGCCGCTGCTCCCTCGTGGCTTCACTCTCGGACTTCGTGAGTCTTATTCGACTTGATCTGTTTTAAAAAGAAATAAAAATGGAATAAATTTGAATTTGAATCCCGAAAACTCTGAATTTTCGCACCGCCGCAGCACTGCGTTGGACAGCTGCGCGAGGACGCGGCTGAATTCCTGAAGCCGAATTTGAATTCTTGAGAAAGGTTTGTTCAAATGGCATATATTTCGCCAAACTTGAATTAACAAAACAAATTTAATCGAATAGTGTTTTATTCACCAATTCAATGAACTCCGGAACAGATTTCTTCGCAGAAAAACCTGCAGCCCTTGCTTTCCCTGAGTTCAAAGCAGCAAAGAAGGAGTCGAACCCACAGACGGCGGCTTTCAGAAGCAGCTGGGCTTCTATTTTTAAATTCTGAAAATAAAACATTAAAAGATTAAAAATGCGAAATGGAGTTTGATTTGAAGTTTTAAATTGAAATTGAACTTTCAAACTAGACCATAACGACAGCAGGAATCGTCTCAGGAGGTCACCGTTGCAACTTTCGTCAGCCGCGCCTCGCTGGGCTCTTCGTCAACTTTGTAGTATTTCGTTTTGCATTTAAAATTCAAAAATTCAAACTGTTTGCATTTAAAAATGCAAAAGAATAAAAGTGTTCTCACCCGCAGCAAAGAAGATCGAGAGCCACGCAGCAGTGGGAAACAGCGCCTGAGTCCGTTCAAGTGGTCTTGCATTTGAAAACAATGAAAATGCATTCTGCTCACCAGATCAGACTCGCTCACGAGATCGCTCAGGAGATTCACTTCGAAAAAGTTTGAAACTCTAAAAAGAAGAAATAAAAACAATTCAAATAAACCGGCAAGTTTTAAAAAGCTGGCTGTTCCATCTTCCCACTTCGGACAGAAGACAGATCGGATCTGCGTAGTGGCGTCGAAAGCTGCTTCGAATTCTGTTCGCGAGCCTTCTTTCCTTGCGGCTGCGCGTTCAAATACCTTTTTGTTGAAGATAAATAAAAGTGATTAAATAATTAAATTACAAATATAATTTGCAGTTGCAGACGCGCACTGGTCCGGCGACAGGCTCCCCGCGTTTCGCCTGCACCAGTCCTTCAGCCGCAGCCTGCCAGTCTTGTAGTTCTTGTTCTGGTGGCTAATTTGGCTTTTAATTTCTGTTTTTAAATTTAAAAAAGAAAAATAATACCTGCAAACCAGAAGCAAAATGTTTGTCATCACATTTGCCCGTGGTTTCTTCGAAGTTTCAACTTGAAATGCGTTTCCGATCTGCCGCTCTGCGCCGCTCCTCGCGTCGAGCGAGGAGCCAGCAGCAACGCTGAGGCTTCTTTTAGTTGGCGGAACACAATCATTTTTTGTTTCTTTAATTTCAGAGTTTTCTGTTTTTGAAGTCAGCGGCTCTAGCGGGGCCCCTGCTGCTGCGCTGCAGTCAGCAGCGGCTGCTGCAGCTGGCAGCAGCTCTGCAGGCGGAGGTGAAAGCAAAGATTCCTGATGCCCTGCAGTGGCGCTCTTACGTTCTTTAGCCGCCGCAGCAGCATATGCTTCTTGTGCAGCAGCAGCAGCAGCAGCAGCAGCGCTGCTAGCTTCTCCCTCGAGGCCCGCGGGTCTTCCCCGTTTTGCAGAATTGCTCAAAAGAGATTCAATTGCATCTGCGACACGCGAAAGCTCCGAAATGTCTTGGGCTTGGAACTCGCAGCCCCTTGATGCCGTTGCTGCTGCTGCTGCTGCTGCTGCTGCTGGGGGCCCCGGCTGCTGCAAGTCCAGGGGGGCCCCTGCTGCCCGCCTTTCCGAAGGGCAGAAGTCAGCAGCAGCAAGAAAGCTGTGTGGCTGTGTGGGGTCGGAGCAGCGGGAAGCTGCTGGGTGCTGCATGCTGCAGAGGCCTGGGTTGTTCGCAGCTGCATGCAGAGCAGCAGCACTGCTGCTGTGCTGCTGCTGCTGCTGCTGCTGCTGCTGCTGCTGCCCGTCGGCCAAGGGCCACCAGGGCCCCCCCCCGAAAGCTGCTGCAGCAGGCAAGTCGGGCCCGCCAGCCTGCTGCGCCTGCCAAGCTGCAGCACGAGCAGCAGCACTGTAGCTGCTGCTGTACTGCGTTGCTGCTGCAGCAGCAAAAGGCTCGAGAGGGTACTGCCCCGGCTGGCAGCTCGCAGGGGCCCCCGGGGGCCCCGGGGGCGCCGAGAAGTGGGTATAGCTGGGGGTGGGGAATTTTGCTGCTGGATCTGTTAGCTGCTGCTGCTGCTGCTGCTGCCAAGCAGGCAGCAGCGCCGCCTCTAGCGGGGGCTGCAGCTCGAGGCTTCGGCCTTCGTGGAAGCTCCTGCTGTGGGGTGCTGCAGAACTGTATGCTGCTGCTGCTGCTGCTGCTGCTGCTGCTGCTGCGCCGTATGCGTTGGCGTGGGGGTGCTGGCCGGTGCGGACTGCTGCTGTGGGCCAGTCCCCAATTCCTGCAGCTGCTTCGGCCGGTTCAAAAGCCCCTTGGGGGCCCCACAACCCCTGCTGCTGCTGCTGCTGCTGCTGCTGCTGCTAAGGAAGCAGTTGCGGAGTCTGTAGAGACTGTGGAGAGCAATGGCCGTACCGCGTTGGCTGCAGGCCGGGGCAAAGAGTTCCTGGAGTAGCAGGAAGCCTCTAAAGAGCTTCTTGGGTCTTCTCCAGATTCAGAACCGGATCTAGTCTGCAGCAAATGCACTTTTGCTGCTGCAGGCTGCAGCAAAACGGAATCTGCAGCAGCTTACCGCGAAGCGCCTGGCTGCTTTCTGGGCGCCATACACTGCAGACGGCTCGCCGCGAGTTCCGCTTCCCTGCGGGCTGTTCGCAGCGTTCTGGCGGGAAAAAAGGAGAATTTGGAAAAGATTTTGGAAAATAAATGCGAGAATAAACAAAGAGAAGAAAGCTGAGCAAAACTGACCGCTTCGGGCCCGGGTTTCCCGGCGTGGCGGGGGCGCGGCGCCTCACTTTGCGCCGAATTCAACTTTCGGCTTTTTCCATGAAGAGCCGACGGAACGCAGCGCTGGCCCCACTCGTTGCTGCGGAATTCCCGGGGAAGCGGCTCCGGCGTTGGTTGGGAAAAAAAGTGATAAGCAACGCAGAAAGAGGCGCCGAGAACGGTGAGCAGCGCCAGCCCAGTCTGAATCAGAAACATGAAGGCGATGCTGACTTCGGAAGCCATCGCCGCTTTTCTTTTCTCCGAGCATGTTTGCCTCGCAAAGGCCTTTTAATTCAACGCAAATGGCAACTCAAACTCAAAGATCAGTTATCAAAAAGAGGAGCTTTCCAGAAGTGCTGCTCGCGCGCGTGCGGTTTCAGGTGTATACACAGCTACGTCTGCACTCGGACTTTGCGGGAATATTCGCGTTTCGACCTGCACCCGGACTTTGCGAAAACACTTGTGTTTCGACCTTTAAAAATTCCCTATTTGCAGTTTTAAAAGACTACTTTTGTGGAGGAAGAGCTGCGCGGACCGCGGGGAACTTGAATTCTGTCTTTTGGAAAACATGCAACTTGAATTGCGTTGCGCGGAAGCGCGCGGCGGAAACTGCGTTCCGGTGCTTCGTTAATTGAAATGTTTTGTTTCGAAATGCAACTTCAACGCAAACTCTGACGGAGTGCGTTGGAGTGCGGGGCAGCTCAAGCTGATCTGCAGCTGCCACACAACAAACAGTTCAGGCTTGACGGTTCCTGCTGCAGCTCTGCTGCGGGAGGCGCAGCAGCAGCGCCGCCGCAGCTGCAGCCACTTCAACTGCTGCTGCAAGAAGCAAAAGGCCCCAGAGTCTCCAGTTTGCTGCAGCTCTTTTCTTAAGAGCTCGCAGGAGCCACAGCAGACTGCCGCCTCTTCACGCGCTTACGAGCTGCGTCTGCTGGAGTCTCCTGCAGCACTGCTGCGCTCTTTCGCATGCGTTTGCCTGCGGAGACCTTGTCCAGGTCCCCCCCCGCTGCTGCTGCTGCTGCTGCTGTTGCTGCTGCTGCTGTTGCTGCTGCTGCTGCAGTCCGCGCCCGCTCCGGGGCCTCCCCAGGTGTCTGTACACCCCCTGCGGCGCCGCTTGCTGCAGCGCTAAGGGCCCCCTCTGAAGGAGACTCACTTTTAATTGCTGCAGCTGCTGCGAAAGTTGCATGCAGTGTGGGGCCCCCCAGTGCTGCGGGGTGTACAGACACCTCAACTTCGCTGGCAAGGGGGGCCCCCCCTTGTTCCAGCTCTGCAGCATTTCGCGCCAGCTTTGCTGCCAAAAGAGCAGCAGCAGCAACGTGAGCAGCAAGTGCTGCGCTCTTGTGGCTCGCCTCGCTCGAAGCAGCAGCAGCAGCTGCTGCTGCTGCAGACTTCGCAGCAATGCCAGCAGCCGCAGCAGCAACAGAAGTTGTCTCTTCCTTCAACGCCCAAGACATGGAATCCGCGCAGGCGCATAAACGCTTCTTTTGCTGCTGTAGCAGCTGCTGCACGTCGCAGTGGGCCCGCGGCTCCGAAGCAGCAGCTGCAGCAGCAGCAGCAGCAGCTTCAGTGCCGCTTGCACTCACCCCTGCTGCTCGTGCTGCAGCAGCAGCAGCAGCAGCAGCTTCAGTGCCGTTTGCACTCACCCCTGCTGCTCGTGCTGCTGCTGCTGTTTGCTGCTGCTCTTCTTGAGCTTCGCCTCTCTTTGCAAAAAACGCATGCAGCTTGCCGCTGGCGCTGCTGCTGCTGCTAGGCGAGGCAGCGGGGACCGCCGGCGTCGCTGCTGCTTCGGCTTTCTCTGTGGGCTGCGCTGCCGCAGCTGCTGCAGCAGCAGCAGCAGCAGCAGCAGCTGCTGCTGCTGCTGCTTCGGGTGGGGGAGTCCTGGCTGGCGCTGGACTCTGTTCCTTTTTCTCTTTTTCTTCAGTGTCCAGCAGCGAGTTGTTGGCCTCCAGCTGCGCCTTCAGCTGCTCCGCGAGCTCCTGCTGCTTCGCCTCCACCACTTTTTCTTCATTTCGAATATTCTGAAATATTCCTTCAAGTTCTTCTGTGAGATTGAAGGCTTGCGCCACTTCCTCTGTTGCATACCAACGCTGAGGAGGAAAAAGTTGCACAAAAACGCGAAAGGAACTCCATTTTTGGGTTTATTTTTCCCCTATTATTTAATTAAATAATCAATTAATTAATCAATTATTAATCTAGTTAATTATTTCTTTGCTAAGCGGCATTTTATCCCGCAAAGTCGCAAATCATGCACGTTTGCACGATCGCTCTGCGAGCGCTTCTCTGAGTGCAACGGAAACACCCGAGAAACACGAACTCGAATGCCTTATTTCTCATTCTGAGATATAACATATATTCAATTAATTTCAATATTTGATTTAATTTAAAAATTTGATTCAATTCTGCTCCAAAGGCGCAAAAACGCGAGGCTGCCTTCACCCGCTGCCTGTCTTCCGCTCGGCGCTCATACACCATGCAGTGTTTCAGCTGCCGCTCGACTTCGGCCTTCGTCACGTGGCGATTTCTGAAAGAAATAAAAAACAAAAAAAACGAAATTGCGACTGAGAGGAACTGCAGCGGCCAAGCTGAACGGGAAAGCGGGATCTTCTTGTTCTCTTGTTGTTTAGAATCCAGATAAGAACATTTATCTTGAAGTCATGCTATCACTTATATGTCTCGAAGTAATGTTATCACTTATATGTCTTAAAGAAACGTTTCCACTTATATGTCTTCAGTGCAGAATATTTATTTCAACTTGGCCACTGGGCAGCAGCAGAAGGAAAGCGCGCCAGGCAAGCCGTCTGGCTCTGAACTCTTCATCTTTTGCCTTTTGTTGCAGCTTAAATTGCTGAACTATTTGGTTTAAATATTAAATTGCTGAACTATTTGATTTAAATATATTGAAGAGCGAGAGAAACATACGCTTTTTGAAACTCCGAGATATTCCTCAGCTTTCCGACAGTCTTCCCGTGGAAAAACTGGAAAGAGGCGCACACGAATGCAGGCGAGCGTTGCCGCGGCAACTTAACGCATATTTAGCTATTCTTTTCAAATGCAATATCTTTTAAATGCGATTTCTTTCAAATGCATGCGCTGAAGTTTTAAAAATGCAAACTCGATGCTATTCATCTTTTAGAAAAGGGAATTCCTGCACTCTTTTCGTCAGCACTAGGCGACACTCTGAAGAACTTCGAGGAAACACTTTGTGAAACAACAGCAAACTTGCACAAAAAGTGGAAATCATTCCGCACTTATGAATATTGGATTTGTATTTATGAATATTACATTTATTCTTTCAATTTAAATTCATGAATTATGTTTCTGCCACTTCTTATTCTCTCACTTTCAGCAGATTGATGCTGTCTTCGTCGGACCATCGGCGGCGCGAATGAGGGGGCAAAGCATCGAGCCGGCAAAAAGGGTTTCTGCCTTCGGCAAACAACAGACAAAGTCGTTTCATTTGCATGAGAAGAAGTATTAAAAAGTAGAAGTGGTTAATTAAAATTAAAAAATAAGAGCAATATCCATAAATGCGAAGCAAGTTCTACTTTTCGTGCAAGTTTACTGTTGATTCACAAAGTGTTCCCGCCAAAGTCCTCACCCCAGTCGTCGCCAATGCAGCCGTATGCAGAACACCAATTTCGGTCCCTTAGAGTTGGAAAAGCAACAAGTGGCGACGAAACTGCAAATTTAAATTCATAAAAGCATCATTTATTTCGAAAAATAGATCTTTCGAAACAAAAAACATGAGCTGTGCGGCCACCAAACCATCGAGACTTCCGGTTTTCTGCGCTTGAACGCAGACCCGCGAAACAGAATGAACATTGCAACAAGCGAATCCGCGAAACGGAATGAACACTGCAATAATAAGCAGCCGGCAAACTGAAAACAAATAACTCTTTAGCCCAGGCAGCTGGCGAATGCTCAAGGGGGTCCCAGGCTCCTTACAGTCTGCCTCGTTGGGCTTGTGTTCTCCGTCGAAAGAGAAGTTCCAGCGAAGAAAAGACTCGAATTTGATGGCGGGCGCGGGGATGAGTTTGTCTTTGGGGTCTTCGTCGTCTTCGAGCCAGTCGCGGTCGTCCTCGCCTTCCACTTCCTCCTCCTCCTCCTCCTCCTTCGCGTCTTCCAAGTCGTCCGCGTCGAAACACTCAAACCATTCGTCGTCGCTGTCTCTTTCGTAGTCCACGCAGCTTTCTTCCGCCCACATTTCCCGCGAAGTCGCTGCCTGCGCGCGCACCCGCAGCCGCAGCTTCCCCGCTGCTCTTGCACACTCGCTCTTGGACACTGGAGGAATGCTGCGAAAGCAGCAGCTAAAGACTCTTCAAAAGCTCAAAGAATGCCATTTAAACGCTGCTCGACAGGGCCAGAGCTGCTGCTGGGAAGCAGCGAGGGGCAAATGCCGGTGGCAGCAGAAGCAGATCTGCTGGCGCCTCGGCTCTTGCGCTCAGAGCGCCTGCTGCTGCCGTTTCGAGCATTTTCTAGCCTGTGTCTACTGCTGCTGAGCGCAATTGCTAAACGCTGCAGCACGTTTTATTTATAGAAGCGAGAGTCTGTTGGGCGGAGCCGTTTCTGCAACGCCAGCCAGCTGCAGCGCAGCAACCACAGTTACCTTCGGCTGCTTCGCCATCAACAGCCGCCGCACCGGACGCTTCCAGTCGTCCAAAGCCACCCAAGAAGTCCTCAAAAAAGGGGCGTCAGGGAGCGACTCAGCGCAGTAGTCGGTGAGGGTGAGGCCCCTTCGCACCTCCGCGGCAGTCTGCCTGTACCCGCTGCTGCTGCTGCTGCTGCTGCTGCTGCTGCTGCTCTCGCCCTCCCCCTGGGCTAACCCGCAAGACACGCTGGTCGGCTGCTGCACAGATACTTTGTGCACGAAGCGGCGGTGGTTTACTGCAGAGCAGCACAACAGGCATGCAAGACACTCTTCAGAATGCAGCAGTCAGTGGCATTTCAATAGACACTGAAAACTTTGAAAAAGAAAAACAGTTAAGTTGTATACTATGGCAGCAATTAATCTAATATGTTGTCTGAGACCTCAGAAAGGAAGACGGATACAGAGGCAAGGATGGAATTCTCAAGAATGGAATGTTCAAGAATGGAATTTTGCAATAAAGCGGAAGCAGCAACAGTGTTGTGTCTCGAGAACTTGAAGAACATTTATAGAAGACGAACCACAAAAAGAAACAAACTCCCGCAAACGATCTCTGGCTGGAATCGCATGCTTGTCCAAGAACTGCTGCAGCAGCGAGGACGGATCGACTTCCTGCTGCTCCTGCTGTTGCGCTGCAGCAGCAAAAACAGGAGCAGCGCCTCCGGCGCGAAAGCTGGCGCCAGCAGCAGCTACAAGCCACCAAACAGCGTCTACTGTGTCAAAAGAAATGCGGAAAACTTTTGTTCAAATCAAAAACTCAAAGATCTCGAGTCTGAAGAACTTGAATTACCTTCCGACACTTGAGGCAAGTCCTTCGCGTCCACGCGGCGGTGCCGCTGCAGCGCGCCTGAGGGCCACAGCAGCAAAAAGCATTCAAAAGAAAACCCTAAACCCTAGAACTTGAAGTCCCTGAATCCCAAACCCTCGGGCTGCGTCGGCGCGGCGCGATCTGAGGGTTTAGGGTTTGAACGCGGCGACATACAGTTCGCCAAACCCTCAACAGCAGCCACAAAACCCTCCTTGTCTTCTGCTGCTGCTCGCCACGCAGCAGCTTCCAACTCTGCTGCTTTCCTCAACTCAGTCTTAGCCCCAGCCCCCGCCTGTTCCTCTTCGTCCAGCACCAGCACCAGGGGGGCCCCCTTGGCTGTGGGGGATGGCAGGGGCCCCCGGGGCCCCTGGGGGCCCCTGTGGGGGTCCCCCGCAGCCCCTGTTGGCTGCGAAGCTGGGCGCCGCAGCCACGAGGCCATAAGACTCTGCTGCCGGTTCACACTGGGGTCTGTCTTCTTCTCCTTTTGCTTCTCCGCCTGCTGCTTCAGCCTTTGCTGCAGCAGCAGCAGTAGCAGCAAAAACCCGCACACAAACGGCTCCGCAGGTCCAGCAGAAGCCGCAGCTGCAGCTGCTGGGGGCCCCCAGGGGCCCCAAGGGTCCACAGCGGGGCCCCCAGGGGCCCCCAGGTGGTCCTAGAAGCTGAAACTTGTACCCGGAGAAGCCCGTGCGGTGTTGAGTTTGGGGATTGAACTTACTAGTCTTTGTTCTTCTTTTTCTTTTTCTTTTTCGAGTTTTTCTTTTTCTCTTTTTTCCTTTTCCAATTCTTTTTGCCTGCGGAGCTCCTCGCGCTGCTCCTCCCGCTGCCTCCTTCCTCTTTCCCTCTCCATCCGGGCATATTCAATTTGCCGCTTTTTGTGTTCCTGCTGCTGCTTTCGTTCTGCTGCTGCTGCTTCCCGCTGCAGCTGCTGCTGCACCCGCTCCCTTGCTGCTGCTATTTCCCCCTCCACGCCCCCGCAAAGCGCCTCCCTCAGCTTCTCCAGAGCCCGCAGCCGCCGGTAAAGAGTCTGCACCAGCCCCCGCAAACCCTAAACCCTAAACCCTAAACCCTAAGCCCTTGAGAGGCTGCAGCCACATAATGCTGCAGCTGAACGCAGCTGGGGCCTGCTGCTGGGCCCAGAGCAGCAGCTGGGGAGAAAGAAGGGCTGCTGAAGAGGCTAGGGTTTGGAGGCGAGGGTTTAGGGTTTGCGGCTGGAGGGTTTAGGGTTTGGGGCTGGAAACCCCACCTGCCGCCCCTCCCTTTCCTTGCGAGCTCCCTCCTTAAATGCTGCTGGCAAACCCTCCAGCAGCACACATTCCCAAATCCACAACTTATAAGAACTTGTGTCTTCAGAGGAGCTCACTGGGGCCCCCTTGGGGGCCCCCGGGGGGCCCCCCTCGTTGTCTATGGGGCGCGCCAGTCCGAACCTGCAGCGACACGCCCTGCTCTCCCAAACCCTAAACCCTCAGGGCCAAACCCTAAACCCTCAGCAGCAAACCCTAAACCCTCAACAACAAACCCTAGTCCCTAAGCACCGAACATTAACTCCTCCGCACCAAACCCTAAACCCTCGAAAGCAAACCCAAAACCCTCGGCTGCAAACTTTGAACCCTTGGAAACAAAATCCAAACCCTCGGCACCAAACCCTAAGCCCTCGGGAGAAAACCCTAAACCCTCGGGAGCAAACCCTAATCCTCGGGAGCAAACCCTAAACCCACGATACCAAACTCTAACCCCTCGGGCGCAAACCATAAACCCTCGGGAGCTATCCCTAACCCTCGTTAGCAAACCCTAAGCCCTCGGGAGCAAACCCCTAGCCCTCAGGAGCAAACCCTAAACCCTCGGGAGCAAACCCTAAACCCTCGGGAGCAAACCCTAAACCCTTGCCTGCGTCTGGTCAGCAGCACGGGCAGCTCAACTTTGAGGGTTTGAGGGTTTACGGAGAAGACCGGCGCGTCGCCTGCAGGCCCAGGGTCTGCAAGAGCAGCACTTGCTGCTGCTGCTAAGTCCGAGAGCGGCAGCGCAGCACCTTCGCACAGCAGCCGCAGCAGCCGCTGCAGCCGCAGCGCCAGGCCAGTGCCTGCAGCAGCAGCAGCAGCAGCAGCAGCAGTAGCAGCAGCGGTAGCGGCAGCAGCGCATAAAGCAGGGGCCAGGGCAGCGCGCTGGGGCCGCGCGCTGGGACCGCGCGCTGCAGGATCTAGGGTTTAGGGTTTAGGGTTTAGGGTTTAGGGTTTGCTACCTTGTGGCTGCTCGCCTTCTCCCTCCACTTCTTCTTCTCCCTCAGGAACCTCCAATTCCTTCTTCGCCTTTATGTAGGCCTCGCGGTTTGAGAGCAAGTCTGTCGGCTGTGCACAAACCCTAAACCCTAAACCCTAAACCCTACACCCTTAACCCTACACCCTTCACCTTACACCCTAAACCGCAAACCCTGATTCCTACATCTTAAAGCTTACACTCTGAACCCTAAACCCTACACCCTAAACCCT